ATACTAGGTCTCCAGGACCCCAAATGTACAAATTCTGTCAGAAAATGGCCAAAAATAAAACAATTTTAATAGCCTGTATCCAAAAATGAAAATAAAAACGTCTGGGGGATTTGCCCACTCTGCCTTCATGCCAGATTTAATGTTATTTGGCTCAAAAATGGTAGAGTTGAATCTATTTAAAGAAATGGTAGGAGAAGAAGGAGGAGGAGGAGAAAAGAAACACCAGAGAACACAATATGTTTCACCACACATAGTGTGGTAAAGCCATAATTCAATCGATAGTTGTCATACTTAGTAAATCGACAACAAGGTGATCATCTAAACTAATAAACACACAAGTTTCAAATAAAATTATACATAATTTATATATCTAAAAAATGCCTTTATGTACTCAAGTACCTCACCATCCCCATGTGTAATTTAACCCTCAACAGTACACCTTCCCGGCCGGACTGATTAATCTGTACACCTGGGGTCCGCGCGGACCCCAGAACAGTTTTTTGCTAATTTTTAGAAATTATCAACATGCTACCATCTCAATTGTTTTGCAAACTGATGTGGGAACCTCTGTGTCCACATTACATACAAACATCATACATTTTGAACTTTTTCAATTTTTTGGTGAAGAAAAGAAGACAAGAAGAAATACCCGATTTTTAAACCCATTTCAGATTGAAGGGGCTTTTGAGGCCCAACTTTGATCTCAGATAGCGGCTAAACGACTTGCGCTAGAAGTATCAAATTTGGAGACCTTTCCTAAAATGTCTCTGGAAAAAAGTTCATATTAGTGTTATACTAGTAAGTTGATGCTTTTTTTTGTTGCCATGGCAACGGGTTTCTAGCAGGCAGTTTTTTTGAAAATAGAAGTAATTTTGGTTTAAACATAAAAGTTTTTTGAGTTTTATATTAAATTACACTTCCTTTCCAACATTTATTACATCCTACATAATTAAATATAAGTTAGATCATTTAATATGCATAGAATATGCTAATTTGATGACATCATTGGTCAAAATCCAATATGGCGGACTATATTATTAGCTCTGACGTCATATGACGTCATAATTACACCAAAGTTATTAAAATTTAATTCTATTACTACACCATTCTCTGAAAACTTGGTAGACATACGATGAGTGCATAAAAACATATAAAAATGGAAATAAGGTAATGTATAAGAACGCCAGTGTATCCATTACGATCGAAAGCCGGCTGGGGTCCGCGTGGACCCCAAAAGAAAATCAGATATAATTTTTTTTATAAATGGTAGAAACGGAGTTTTCTGAACTGTATTGAGAGACAACTTTGTGGGTGACAATTACCTAAAATTTCAGAAAAAAATCTTTAGAAACAAAAAAGATATTACAGAATATATAGTGCTGGGGTCCGCGCGGACCCCAGGTGTACTGTTTAGGGTTAAGGTAAAGCAAACTATGCAAAGGGCATTGGAACATACGATAAGTATATGATAGCTTGTATATTTCAGATGGCAAGCGATCGCTGTTTTTATATTGCATTATTGTATTTTAACGTGTGGTAATTTTAATGCAAAGTAGATATGTAACGAATAGGTTTTTTTATTTCAAATGTAAAGAATATTTATCAAATGGCTAATCTAAAAGCGCACTTTGTGTTGTGTTTTAAAGCCTTCCCAATTCAGCCAAATATGGCTGCTTACAGGCTTTTGTGTGTACTTTTTGTAAGGCAAAAATAAACCAGTCTCTCTCTATCGCTCACTTCCGCCCAATGCTAGCCTCGGTGCATTTCGATTTGTAACGGTGTTTTTTGCAGTGGCTGTCCTAGAAAAGTTAGTGCAAGGAGCCCCGTTAAAAATCGGAACGCCAAACAGACTATGCCGAGACGGGGCACAATTTAATTCAGAAGCTGCCATGTTAAGACTTCAAAAAAGGTATGATGGCTAAAACATGATACATGCTCGTCGGACAACCTGGCGTCTCCCACAGATTTCGCAGGGAAAACATGACTTGTCATTCGGTATTTCGAACCCTGCGTAAGATTGAATATCATAATAAAAGCAATAAAAATACGCATATTCTATATATTAGTACAGTGTCAACTTCTAAGGCAGATTCACCCCTAAACGTGCTATATTCCACACTTTCAGGAAAACGTAGAAATGTTGCCGTCTTTCATCAAGTAACTTAATATGACTCTTCCTCCAGAAGGACTTTGTGTGTTTTGTCTATATATTAAGTAGAATGTGTGACAACGGAAATTGAGGAGTAACTATTGTAAAGTGTTATTTCTCCGACTGTGTGCAGAATAAACTTTTGCTATGAGTCGGAAAAAACAGAAATAAAAAATCATCTGAGTTAAAATTAGCAAATTATGAGCGTTTTTATTTCTTCCAAGTTTAAAGTTTATTATTTACTTATTTCTTTCTTTCTTAGGAAAATCTCTCCTCAACTTGGCAAGAACGGGCGTTTCTAAGTACAGTACACCATTAGACACATATGGTAATATATTTAAAAATCATAATTTGTATATCACATCCTTCTTTATAATTTATCAGAGATAAACACTACTCAAAAGTGACATGATTTTGGTCCCACTACATACAATATATAACGTACATACATGTAGCAGCATGCAGTAGGCATATTCAGCTATAACAGATTTGGTGATGATTTTGGGTAGTCGTGTAAAAGCACTTCCTATCAAAAGCTTCTGTCCGATGCCATCATGATACGTTATATTTTATCTAAAGCTTCGGTCCCAATTGGAAAAGGGGGCACTGGCGTGTAGTTCCCGGGCTGTTTTTTTGCACTTTCGGGCGTGACACCAGCGTGGCCAAGTGGGACGCCCCCCCCCCAAAAAAAAATGGAGGAGGGCAAGAATAAGCACTGAGGATTTTTTTTCCTCCTCCAGAACATCCATTCTGTTTAGGTTGTTTTTTTATATTTTGTTTCGTTTGATTATTATATTTACTTCTGTATTGTTTGTGTTTTATATGTATGTGCAAAGAAAAAGAAAACATTGTCTTCCAAGCAGACGTCATTTAGCTGGCGCAGCACGTCGGCAGAACGCACTGTGCCTGCGCAAAACCCATTTTGCACTGTTTTCGTCAAAAGGTTGGCCAATCAGACATTTGCCTGTTGCTGATCTAGACTATCTATTTTTCAGACATACTGTAACATTTGGAGACTACAGGCGGAGTGTTAGAAGAAAATTTCAAATACACAACAACAACAACAACAACAAAAAACATGTTGTTAGTAAAGTCTTTATTAGCCGTCTTCTATCACGGGATGACATATTTATCCGAAAGTTTACGCATAGATACGAATCTAGCAGCTTCTAAAATGTCTTGTAGAAAGATTGTAGCGGATGTTTAGAATACATTCAAGCGTACATTCGAATCATTCTTTATTTTCCAGGGTTGTACAGACAAAGTGTTGTCTATAGGAAATTCAAAATCTACTACTGGATAAATTACGGAAAAAAACTAACATTCAGGTGTTGACGAGTTCTGTTAGTTTATTAGTGACGCTGGAGAAGAGTTGTGGATGTCACTGGAAACGTCCGGAAATTATCTCCGTACTTTATCCAGAGCTTGCATTTTTCTATGAGTATTGTTTACCTGGATGTCTAACCTCCATCAACGTAACGTTTTCCCTTTGTTCCTGATAATGGGTGAAAAACTATGCACATCAAGCTAACACTGACTTATTAGAGTTTTGCATGGCGTTTCAGATCTAAAGAGCTACAGCTAGCAGCGTTAATGTTAGCAAAGAACTATTCTAGACGGCTGTTGGTGATCACGTTGGTCGCACGTGGAGAGCACGTGATAGTCATCCCGACTGGCCTGCAAAGACATAAATACAGCAAAAAATCACGTACATGAATTACAATGCCTGAACTTTTACATCTTTTCGAAATCCAGTTTGCCCTTTCTAGTTTCATAATGTCTAAGCGAACATTCAAAGTTGTAATCATTGCAAAATAAACATGCTATAATGTATCAAATGCCCATAAAAATAAAATTCCCAAACCCTCCAACATCCTTACCCTTGATTAGAACTGTAATGTAATGTATTCTTCTTTATGGGCCTTTTATATATGTCTATATATGTATATATGTTCTATATATACATGTATGTCAATGTCTGGTTGAAACAATCCTATTCCATAGTATACTGACACGGTGGCTGACATCTGTGAGGCAAAAATGCGATGTCCCTGAAGGAAAGCGGTTGCTTGCTTATAAAGTAGGCTGGTTCTAGCTATGTATTATTGGTACTTACTTACTTAATTAATTATATTTGGGCGGTACTTAAAAAAAAGATTCCTCACGTTAATTTTTTTTTCATTTCCAAACGTTCCAAGATGCCAAAAAATGTGCTAAGAAACGACAGGAAATGCCAATGTTCCCTATCTTGAAATTTTTTGTGGCTCTGAAATTGCATCGGATGCCTTTAGGAGAAGTTTCATTTGCCCGCTATAACAAAAAGAACAACACAACCGAGAAGAAGGTTAAAAGACATTGTGTGTGTGTTTGTTTGTGTGTTTGTTTGTTTGTTTGTTTGTTTGTTTGTTTACCTGCCCAGCCATCATTTTTCTCCCGGCAGCGGCTCGTTGTCCCCGGCCACGTCCCGTTTGGACACGGACGTCTCTTCACCGACTGCGGTCAACAGAAATCCGTTAATAGTTTCATCAGGTTGGTAAGTCAGTGAGTAAAGAGACTCTTTCTATACAACCGAGTCTTTTATTCAGACGACGTTTCGGTGACAGTCCGTCGCCTTCCTTGGGGCAATTTGACTGGTTCACATCAGCAACATAATGATCACAAGAGGTGGAAAATGCAACAATGGGGAAAAACTAGAACTTTCAGCATGATCTATAGGCATCTAGTGCAATTTCAGGTTCCCGAACGCGATTTTCTGGTCATTCTTTACTGTAGTAAGTGAAATCAGTCTTAGACCATAGGAATGCTATTTCGTAGCACATTTTCGTCATCATTTTTGAAATAGTACAAAAACAACCTAGTTGTCATGAGGCATCTCTTTATATTTTGATTAGCGCCCATAAATAGCTAGAACCAGTCTATGATACAAAACATCAACGTCAATCGTTTTCTTTCAGTGACATCGCATAAATGTCAGAGAAAAAAAAAATCGTTTGCCACCCTGAAATTGCATTGGATGCCTTAAAGTATCGCAGGTTACGTACCGCTGCGGGCTGAATTACCACCACTACTACTGCCACCACCACAGCTCTCGGCAGGCATCATCTCGGAAGAGATGACCAGGAGAACAAGGAGCAACACCAGAGCCGTCTTCATCGTGCTCAGCGGGGAATCCTGGATTTAAAGAAGTCCTAACAATTCAAAGAAAGCTTTCAGAATCGAAAACAAACAGATTTAGCAATAGCCCATGATCCCTTTTCAAATGCATTATACAAAACTTAACAACTGGCTGAATCTGTGAGTCAAAGCTAGTAATTGTTTAAAGTTTTGACGAGACGTTGGCAGTTGAAGTCAATAAAGTGTCATACACTAAAAGTAGGAGTGATGGACTCGACGTCGCGACCAGACCTACAAAGCAAGCCACAGTGGAAAAATCTGAAATATAAATCAGCTCAACTACATGTACAGTAACGACATGATTTAATGGAGAATAGTCTCATTGTAGCTACCACACTGTAGCCCCCCCACACACACACACACACAACAACAACATAGCCTGCCGTACGTTCATTTGAGATACACTGTTACTTTGAATGACTCTCTTTAATTCTGTGTCTCCATGCTCGGTTGGGTTAAGGCGGCCTAGGCTGATATTCATGTTTGAGTTCGGACGTGTGTCTGCACGATTGCCACAAACATGTTTCGAACCCGAATCATGTTCCACCATGTTCGATATGACGTCATTCGAATAGAACGCGTGTTCGAATTCGGGGTTACCGGCGGTCATCCCTGTAAACCCGCGTTGTTACGCATTTTATTCACGGAGTATGACTCAAACGGCTTTACGCGCAGCTGAAAACAGCATAATTGATCTTTGGAGGAATCCATGTTTACGTGTTATCACTTTTTTATCAAAATTGTCCGAGGCTATTTTGCATATAAGTCGAAATTTTTTAACTGTGGCGATTTTTTAACGAAAAATGACAGAAAAATAGCTGTTTCTGTCGTTTTTGACCCCAAAAAAAAAACAATGTAACTGTCATTTAAAACAAAATAGCCTCGGACAAAAATAATAAATAGGGGGTTGGCTTTCTACATGTAAAATATCATGATGAAAGGTGTTGTTACCGCTTGCGCGTAAAGCCATGAAGTAAACAGCTGTTTTTAAACCAAAATGTTGATTTTTAACCCAAAAATTCAGAAGTAGTAAAAACAAAATAACCTTTATTAAATGTGTTTCAGGTACTACTAGAACTGTGTGAAGTTAAGTTGTGGTGCGACCAAGCTGTCAAAAGTTACAGCCATATGTATGACATACTACTCATAGTTGGCCATAGGCTGCCTTAACCCAACCGAGATGGCGCCAGGAACACGAGGGTTGATATCGTCTACTCGAATAAGCCATTGTCCCATGCAGACCTTTCCCACGGCCTGTGTTAACCTTGGGATTTGAATCACAATGCTAAGGTATATAATGCTAGAATCAATTATTTCCACCTTGTCACGTATCTGTACATTTCAACTCAAGTGACCATTGAAATAAACTACTTTCTAAACAAACTTTAGTAAACTTCAAACGTATCGCGCTGTAGTTGAATAAAAGAAGAAACATTTAGTGAGAGAAAGCCTCTGTACTGTCACTAAGCGTAGTAAAATTGTCAGGGTCTTGTCTTACAACACAGGCTTTCTAGTACGAAATCATTGGCCAAGAGTATATTGTCATTGGCATGCCGGCAATAACTTTCTACGTAGCGTTGCCTCGGAGATTAAGAAGTTGTACAGTGAATATATTCCCACCTGTTAGACGCAAATCGGACGGAGATCTTAGAGATATTTCAGTGCTGATCCGCCTCGGAATCAGTACGGTCAAACTTGTTTGGTCACTTCAGGCAAGGACATTATAATGACGGCCTTGTTGAGCTTATTGTGAGTCAGATCATACGATAGGTTGAAACAAGGACAATGTCCTTGGCTAACATCTGAGTCAGACTGTTGGGATGTTCCAGATTCACCTCTGAAAAACTATAGATATCGTAGCTTTCCTGTCAATGAAATCGCAGTGCCACGTGATCTTCAATAGTTCAAATTCATATTTTCATGTATCAAGAAAAGCAGTGTGGTGTAATTGAGGGATCAGGAACATTTAGTGAGAAACATTCAGTGAGAGGGAAACGTAGTGTCACCAACAGTCAGTCTTATTTAACAATTAGCGTCTTGTACAGCCCAGGCTTTCTAGTACTTATTCATTGGCAATGAGTAATAATAACTTTCTACGTAGCGTGGCAAACTTTCCTCGGAGATTAAGAAGTTGTACAGTGAATATATTCCCACCTGTGAGACGCAAATCTGACGGCGATCTTAGAGATATTTCAGTGCTGATCCGTCACGGAATCAGTTCGGTATGAAATGAAGTCAAACTTGTTTGGTCACTTCAGCCAAGGACATTATAATGACGGCCTTGCTTAGCTTATAGTAATGTCAGATCATACGATAGGTTGAAACCAGGACAATGTCCTTGGTTAGCATCTGAGTCAGATGTTACCTAATTGTCTTTGCTTCAACTTATTTCTGAGTCAGACTGTTGGAATGTTAGAGATTCACCTCTGAATGGATATCGCAGCTTTCTGGTGAATGAAACCGACAACGTCACGTGATTTTCAATAGTTCAAATTCATATTTTTATGTATCAAGAAAAGCAGCGTGGCGTTCTTAAAGGATCAGGTGTAGGAGTGCTAGCAGATACCAACTACGACGTACGGTCTCATAAATATTGTATTACTAAAAAAGTATTGTATTTCAAACATAACACAATGTAGTTCAAAAGAGAAGAAACATTTAGTGAGAGAAAGCCTCTTCACTGCCACTAAGCGTAGTTTTAACTTAAAAATTTTAATTTGAAAATTGTCAGGGTCTTGTCTTACAGCACAGGCTTTCTAGTACGAAATCATTGGCAATGAGTAACAATAACTTTCTACGTAGCGTGTCAAACTTTGTTCGGAGAGTAAGAAGTTGTACAGTGAATATAATCCCACCTGTGAGACGCAAATCTGACAGCGATCTTAGAGATATTTCAGTGCTGATCCGCCACGGAGTCAGTTCGGTATGAAATGGAGTCAAACTTGTTTACTCACTTCAGCTTATTGTGAGTCAGACTGTCGGAATGTCAGATATTCACCTCTGACATGAGTCGGTGATTATCTCTGATGAATACATGTCTATAAGCACGTCCACAGGACGGACTTCGTGGATGCCTGCGGGAAACGATATCACGTATGATCAGCCCCCCCCCCCGCCATCCTCGATGTGATATTTCCAACAAGTTCTATCGACAAACAGGTCGGTTTTGTTTTTGTATCTGTGTATCTGCAAATAAAAATAAACAAAAAAATGTCTTCTTAGCAGACGTCGTTTAGCTGGCGCAGCACAATAGCAGAACCCCTCCGCAAAAGCCCCATTTTTCACTGTTTTCGTTGGATTGTTGGTCAATCAGAATTTTGCCTGTTGCAGATCTAGATGATCTTCCGACAAAACATTTGGAAACTACAGACGGAGTTTTAGAAGAAAATTCCATATACTCAACAACAACAACAACAATTGCTATTAGTATTTTGTTACAATTATTATCATTGTTAATATGCATTATTTATTGATCATGATAAAAAGGACTGTCACCTAATTTTGTGAATTCAGTGAGCTTAAATGGCATTCCTGTTTCTCATGACCTTTTTACATGTATTATATGAAAATAAAGTTAAGATAAAAAGTAAAAACACGTCATGTTGTTAGTAAAGTCTTTATTAGCCGTCTTCTATCACGGGATGACAAATTTATCCGAAAGTTTACGCATATATGCGAATCTAGCAGCTTCTAAAATGTCTTGTAAAAAGATTACAGCGGATGTTTAGAATACATTTTAGCGTTGGTTTCAGTGCTAGTGCATTCGAATCATTCCTTTGATAATGTTTCCAGGGTTGTATACTGACAAAGTGTTGACTGCAGGAAATTCAAACTCTACTACTGGATAAATTATGGAGAAAACTAACACTTAGGTTTTAACGAGTTCTGTTAGTTTATTAGTGACGCTGAAGATGGGTGGTGGATGTCACTCGAAACGTCCGGAAATTATCTCTTATTTTATCCAGAGCTTGTTTACCTGGATGTCTAACCTCCATCAACGTAAAGTTTTTCCCTTTGCTCCTGATTATGGGTGAAAAACTATGCACATCAAGCAAACACTGACTTATTAGAGTTTTGCATGGCGTTTCAGATCTAAAGAGCTACAGCTACCAGCGTTAATGTTAGCAAAGAACTATTCTAGACGGCTGTTGGTGATCACGTGGAGAGCACGTGATAGTCATCCCGACTGGCCTGCAAAGACATAAATACAACAAAAAATCATGTACATGAATTAAAAAGCCTGAACTTTTACATCTTTTCGAAATCCAGTTTGCCCTTTTTAGTTTCATAATGTCTAAGCGAACATTCAAAGTTGTAATTATTGCAAAATAAACATGCTATAATGGATCAAATGCTCGTATAAATAAAATGCCCAAACCCTCCAACATCCAATTTCCTTGGCTGATTTACACTGGATTAGAACTGTAATGTAACATCTTCTGCTTATGGGCCTTTACATAATATGCATGCATGTCAATGTCTGGTCAAAACAATCCTATTCCATAGTATACTGATATCTGTGAGGCAAAAATGTGATGTCACTAAATAAAGGAAAACAGTTGTTTGCTTTGTAAGCTTTTCTGATTATTTATGGGTACTTGCTTCCTTACTTATTTATGGATGGTTAACCGTATAAAAAATAAAGAGACTCCTTAAGCAACAGTTTTTTTTCTATTTCAAACGATTCGAGCATGAAATGATGCCGAAACTGTGCCAAGAAACGACAGTAAATGCCTAATTTCCTAATCTAGAATATTTTGTGGCCCTGAAATTGAATGAATAGGAGAAGCTTCCTTCCATGTGTCAACATTTCCTTTGCCCACCATAACAAAAAGAATAACACAACAAAGAAGCAGATTGAAAGACAGTGTTTGTCTGTTTGTTTGTTTGTTTGTTTACCTGCCCAGCCATCATTTTTCTCCCGGCAGCGGCTCGTTGTCCCAGGACACGTCCCGTTTGTTGGCCGCGGACCCATCACCGCCTACGGAACAGAAATCCGTGAATAACTTCATCAGGTTGGCAACATAAGTCACTAAGTAAAGAGACTCTTTTTCCACGACCAAGTCTTTTATTCAGCCGACGTTTCGGTGACTGTCCGTCACCTTCCTCAGGGCAATTTTGACTGGTTCACATTTCATTGCAGCACAGGTGTTGCTGCTACAAATGCATTCCCAAATGTACAGTGTCTACACATCTACGTGGGAAAGCATCTATAGCAGCGACACCTGTGCTGTAGTGCAATGTGAACCAGTCATAATTGCCCTGAGGAAGGTGACAGACGGTCACCGAAACGTCGGCTGAATAAAAGACTTGGTTGTGTAGAAAGAGTTTCTTAACTCGGTCTATAGACATGTTTAAAGAGATTTTTTATGTACATGTGAGATTTTCGCGCTAAAACTGTCAATATAAATGATGAAATTTTTGCATCTAGATTGTCATTTTCAATAACTTTTAACACATTAGCGTCTCTAGTTCGGCGACTCTGCGAAGCTGGAGAATAAGTTGCGCCAGGGCCGCTGTAATTTCGGCTCCTAAAAAGAATATAAACAAACAACATGGCTGTCATCCGCAGTTTTGGCAGTTTTTCAACACGCTTTTGCGGCGAAATGACGTTGATCTTTTACTCCCCAAATGTCATCATGAACCCAGGTATGCTTAAAGCGTAAGAAAATGTGCAAAACAACAATGTTCAAAATTTTGAAAATATTACATAAGATCGCTTTAATGCCTTTTGCTTATTCATTTTCTTCATCAAATGTGAAATCATATATGTGACTATACCCATATGAAATATGTGAATGAGGGGAATTTGGGGGAAATTTAGATCGTGAAATGGGAATGCTAAACAACCACCAAGGACGTTACTAACGCTAACACATTAAACATCTTAATATGTGTCCTTGTCCTATTTGCTCACTGTCCATTGAATTGTGACTCTGTCCTTGTTCTGAGCAAATCAACGCCCTGTTTTTGTGGCAATGCCAATCCAAACTATTCAGCTACAATTTTCAGACATTTTTGTGGACTTTGTGTAATTTAATTACCACTTGATTTTACGATTCACACTCTTGAAAACTTTCGCAATTACTCCCATATTTTCCACTGTAGTCACATTAAATCACATACTTTGAAGTTTTTAATCAAATTCAAAGAGAAGTCACAATCATACACTTTGTAAGTAGAACCCAATCTACGTTAAAGAAATGTGACAAGAAGTCAATAATTATGTCATATACATATATTTGTTGCTGAAGCTACGAAAAAATAACATAAACACAAACTAAAAGACGTAGCATACTGTAGTTCCATGTGATTTAGTCAGTATTTACGGAGATATACATCGGCCGAAAAGCTGAAACCTAAAGTAAACATTTCACATGATCACAAGAGGTTAAAAAATGCAACAATAATTAAAAACTAGAACTTTCAGCATGGTTTACAGTATAGGCATCTAATTCAATTTCAGCATTCCCGAACTCGATTTTCTGGCCATTCTTTAATGTAGTAAGCAGAATCAGTCTTCGACCACAGGAATGCTATTTCGTAGCACATTTTCGTCATTTTGCAATAGTCCAAAAACAAGCCAGCTAATGCGTCTCCTAATATTTTGGGTAGCACCCATGAATAGCTAGAAGCAGCCTATGATAAAAACATACACGTCAACCGTTTTCTTTCAGCGACATCGCATAAATGTCAAAAAGACCATTTTTCATTTTTCCTGAAATTGCATTGGATGCCTTAATAAGTATCGCAGCTTACGTACCGCTGCTGGATGAACCGTCACCACCGTCACTGTCACCACCGTCACTGTCACCACCGTCACTGTCACCATCATCCCCAATAGGACAGCTCTCGGCAGGCATCATCTCGGAGGAGATGACCAGGAGAACAAGGAGCAACACCAGAGTCGTCTTCATCGTGCTCAGCGGGGAATCAGACAGCGCGAACGTTCCTGGATCTAAACAAGACCGTACAATTCGTATTCAACCAAAGAAAGCTTTCAGAATCGAGAACAATCGGATTTAGCGATAGCCCATGATCCTAATTTAAATTGATTTCACTATTGGTGCTATATACATACAGTTACAAGTAACAAATTGAACAGTGAACAGACGTTTGTCTAGCCGTGGCAACGGTTGCTTCTCTTGCTGCCTTACTTGCACAGCCATAACGACAGTCACAGAGTACTGATTTGCGATACGTTAAGTTTCCCAGTGCATTATGCAAAACTAAACAACTGGCTCAACAATTTGTGCGTCAAAGCTAGTGATTGTTCGAAGTATTGACGAAAGCAGTTGAAGTCAACTTTGATTGACTTTAAAGTCTCACACACTAAAGGTAGGAGTGATGGACTCCCCTAGACCTACTAAGGAAGCTAATGCGGGAAAATCTGAAACATAAATCAGCTCAACTACTGTAACGGCATGTTTAATGGGGAATAGTATCATTGCAATTACCCCCTCCCCACCAACACACACAACAACGTAGCCTGCCGTACGTTCATTTTAAATACACTGTTTCTTTGAATGACTCTCTTTAATTCTGTGTCTCCGTGGCGCCAGGAACACGAGGGTTGGTGTCGTCTACTTGAATAAACCATTGTCCCATGCAGACCTTTCCCACGGCCTGCGTTAACCTTGGGACTTAAATCACAATGCTAAGGTATATAATGCTAGAATCAATTATTTCCACCTTGTCACGTATCTGTACATTTCAACTCAACCGACCATTGAAATAAACTACTTTCTAAACAAACTTTAGTAAATTTCAAACGTAACGCGCTGTAGTTGAATAAAAGAAGAAACATTTAGTGAGAGAAAGCCTCTGTACTGTCACTAAGCGTAGTTAAATTGAGTCTTGTCTTACAGCACAGGCTTTCTAGTACGAAATCATTGGCACTGAGTAATAATAACTTTCTACGTAGCGTAGCAAAGTTTCCTCGGAGATCAAGAAGTTGTTCAGTGAATATATTCCCACCTGTGAGGGGCAAGTCGGACGGCGATCTTAGAGATATTTCAGTGTTGATCCACCACTGAATCAGTTCGGTATGAAATGAATTCGAAGTCAAACATGTTTGGTCACTTCAGCCAAGGACATTATAATGACGGCCTTGTTGAGCTTATTGTGAGTCAGATCATACGATAAGTTGAAACAAGGACAATGTCCTTTGCTAACATCTGAGTCAGGTGCTAGCCAATTGTCCTTGCTTCAACCTGTTGTGAGTCAGACTGTTCGGGTGGAATGTTCGAGATTCACCTCTGAATGGATATCGCAGATTTTTTTTATAGATTTCAACATGTAATCACCAGACGTGGTGACGGCACACTCAAGTTTTTTCAACTTATATCAATGACGCCACCAACACAGGGGGCAATACAATACACATTTTCACCTGAGCCAAGTGAGAAAATACACCGATCCCATGCCCTTTCTCAAGGGCACAAGATCAGTGGCATGTCTGGACTCGAACCCGAGACCTCTTGGTTCTGAGTCGAGCACTCATCCGCTACTCCACACGACCCCACAGCTTTCTTGTAAATTAAGTCGACAATGTCACGTAATCTTCAATATAGTTCAAAGTCATATTTTCATGTATGTAGAAAAACAGTGTGACGTTCTTGGGGGATCAGGTGTAGCTATGCTAGCAGATACGTTGACATTAGCCCAACTACTGACGTATTTGACGGGACGATTTGATGATTGGAATTTAAATAACAATGCTAACTTATATAAACATAGTATTCCCACCTTGTCACGTACCTGTGTATTTCAACTCGTTCACAACCAACTATTAAAATAAATTACTTTCTGAACAAACTTTAGTAAATTTCAAACGAAGAAACATTTAGTGAGAGAAAGCCTCTGTACTGTCACTATGCGTAGTTAAATTGTCAGTCTTGTCTTACAGCACAGACTTTCTAGTACGAAATCATTGGCCATGAGTAACAATAACTTTCTACGTAGCGTTGCAAACTTTCCTCGGAGATTAAGAAGTTGTACAGTAAATATATTCCCACCTGTTAGACGCAAATCTGACGGCGATCTTAGAGATACTTTAGTGCTGATCCGCCACGGAATCAGTTCGATATGAAATGAAGTCGAACTTGTTTACTTACTTCATTATGATGACGTCCTTGTTACAGCTTATTGTGACTATCATACGATAGGTTGAAACTAGGACAATGTCCTTGGCTAACATCTGAGTCAGGTGTTAGTCAAGAACACTGTCCTTGTTTCAACTTTTTTTTAGTGAAACTGTTGGAATGTTCGAGATTCAACTCTGAAAAATTATAGATATCGTAGCTTTCTTGTGAATGAAACCGACAGTGTCACGTGATCTTCAATAGTTCAAATTCATATTTTCATGCATCAAGAAAAGCAGTGTGACGTTCTTGAGGGATCAGACTTAGCTGTGCTAGCAGACACGTTGATTTTTACGAGGTACGTGAATGAAGTACGGACGGCTTATCAATCTTGTACTACATCGACGCATTATAACTCTTCCTACCGCGGCATGGTACTACTAATAGACTTCACTTTTCTTTATTATGTATCTCCTGCTAGAAATGGGTGGGTCGATGTCGTTCACTTGAATAAATTATTACCTCCATGAAAAATGGAGGTATTGTTTTTGGCGTGTCTCTCTGTATGTATGTATGTATGTATGTGTGTGTGTCTGTCTGTCTGTCTGTCTGTGTTTCCGCAACTTTGTGGTCAGCATAACTTCAGAACGCCTTTATGGATTATGATGATATTTGGTATGTTGGTTAGTCTTAGGAAGACAAACGTCAAGGTCAAACATGGGCCTCCTGGTGGATGACCTTGGTACTGCAGCAGAACTTCCGGTTTTTGTATCTTTTGTCCTGAACATGCTATGGTCTTGATGTTTTGGTGACAGATTGCTTTTCCTGTCAGGAATAAGTGGTGTGAGTTTGGTCCCCCTAGCAGCTTGTTTTGGAACTGCAGGGCACTTTCTGGCGAAATGTTTAAAAGCCAATAAGTCCAGATAGGAACAACATATTTTCATAATTTTTGATGTGTAGGTAGCTAAGAGAGAGATGTACATGATTAAATGCAAATTATGCAAATGAGGACTTTATTTGCATAATTAATGAGGAAAGTCTATGATTACAGTGTTTTACATTATACTACTTTCATACATGTAACGTATGTAACCTATTAGGCAGAACATCAACAGATACTAATTATGCAAATGATGACCTAATTTGCATAGTTTATGCAAAAATTCTATGATTTCTTAATGGTGAATAATGGGAATGTCATACTTTGGACATCTGTAAGTTCATCAAAAGTTAACATACATCACGATTCATATTATATATCATGTTAATGCGGAGGTAATTTGCATAATTAAAGAGGAAATTTACATTTACATATCAAGCCCATATTTCATGGAGGTATGAAATCTCGGAATTCTTGTTTGTACCATGTAGCGATTTCCTACGTATACGGCTTGCAGTTAAGCCTTGGAATTTAGATAACAATGCTAACGTATATCTCGTGATATTCCCAATTTGTCACGTATTTGTGTATTTCAACTTAAACAACTATAGAAATAAACTCCTTTCTGAACAAAGTGTATCAAATTTCAAACGTAACACGCTGTAGTTGAAAACAATGAGAAACATTCAGTGAGAGAAAAACGTACTCACCAAGCGTAGAAAACTGTCAGTCTTATTTAACAGCTAGCGTCTAGCACAGTATAGGCTTTCTAGTATGAAATCATTGGCCATGCGGAACAATAAGTTTCTATATGTAGCGTAGAAAACTTTCCTCGTAGATTAAGGAGTTGTACAGTAAATATAATCCTACCTGTGAGACGCAAATCTGACGGCGATCTTAGAGATATTTCAGTGCTGATCCGCCACGGAATCAGTTCGGTATGAAATGAAGTCAAACTTGTTTACTCTCTTCATTAAGATGACGTCCTTGTTACAGCTTATTGTGAGTCAGATCATACGATAAGTTGAAACAAGGGCAATGTCCTTGGCTAACATCTGAGTCAGGTGCTAGCCAAGGACATTGTCCTTGCTTCAAATTTTTAGTGAAACTGTTGGAATGTTCGAGATTCAACTCTGAAAAATGATAGATATCGTAGCTTTCTTGTGAATGAAACGTGATCTTCAATAGTTCAAATTCATATTTTCATGTATCAAGAAAAGCATTGTGAAGTTCTTGGGGGATCAGGAACATTTAGTGAGAAACATTCAGTGAGAGGAAAACGTACTGTCACCAACAGTCAGTCTTATTTAACAGTTAGCGTCTTGTGCAGCCCAGGCTTTCTAGTACTAAATCATTCGCCATGAGTAATAATAATTACATATAACTATCTACGTAGCGTTGCAAACTTTCCTCGGAGATTAAGAAGTTGTACAGTGAATATATTCCCACCTGTGAGACGCAAATCTGACGGCGATCTTAGAGATATTTCAGTGCCGATCCGCCACGGAGTCAGTTCGGTATGAAATGGAGTCAAACTTGTTTACTCATATCAGCCTATTGTGAGTCAGAGTGTCGGAATGTCAGAGATTCACCTCTGACATGAGGGATTATTATCACTAATCTTGCTGTCCTTGACAGACAGCGCACTAGGTGCGGTCATCAACCTCCGGATACAGTTTGGCGGCACAAATGGGTATTCTATAGTTAAAGACCCCAAAGTGACTCACTAAAAACTACAGTAGGGTACACAGGCAAGGTTCAGAATTTTGATATGTTTAACTTTTTTAATTCCAACATGTAATCACCAGACGTGGTGACGACACACTCAAGTTTTCCAACTTATATTAATGCCGCCACCAACACAGGGGACAAATACATGACAGGACAATACTCATTACACCTGAGCTAAGTGAGGAAAGCCGTGTAAAGTTCCTTTCCCAAGGGCACAAGATCAGTGGCATGTCAGGACTCGAACCCGGGACTCTAAGTTCCGAGTCGCGCACTCTGCCGCTACGCCACACGACCCCACGACCCCATGTTTAACTTTAAGGTATATTGTACAAAATATGTGAATATTGGCTTAAGTTTGCCGACTCGTTCTCTTCTCACGCCCTCTTTGTTTAGCGTCACTGCGGAGGTCATTGAACTGCAGCCAACGCACAGTACTAGTCGGCACAACTTAGTATCCAAGCGCAAATCTACGCCGACTGAACACGCACCATGATTCAACTTTAACAGTCTCAAAACTGACGTATTCCTCTAACATTTACCACAGGTTCCATCTCGATGCCATGCACAGAACAATCTCTGAACTTTTCTCTGGTATTGTGCAGCACTACATGTTAGAGATTCACCTCTGGCATGACGAATGATTATCACTAATATTCCTGTCCTTGATAGACACCGCACTAGGTGCGGTCATCAACCTCCGGATATACATGACGATATGAGGCGGCACAACACAGATTGGCGGCACAAATGGGGATTTCTCTAGTTAAGGACCCCAAAATGACTCACTACAAACTATAGTAAGGTACACAAGCAAGGTTCAGAATTTTGATATGTTTAACTTCAGGGTACAGTGTACAAAATATGTGACTATGAGCCGGCTAGTTCTCTTCTCACGCCCTCTTTTTAGCGCCACCGGTACCCCCCGTACCGCGGAGGTCTTTGAACTGCAGCCAATGCACAGTACTAGTCGGTACAAGTATCAAAGCGCAAATCTACGCCGACTGAACACGCACCATAATTAAACTTTCACGGTCTCAAAACGGACGTATTCCTCTAACATTTACCACAGGTTCCATCTCGATGCCATGCACAGAACAATCTCTGCACCTTTCTCTAGTATTGTGCAGCACTACTTTGTACCCGTACTACTTTTGACTACGGGGTTCGAACATAAATACTGTGTTGTGCGGCCTTATGAAGCTGGTCGTGACAAGAACCGTCCGCCAGCCATGTTCCTTACAACCTACACTGAACAACTAACTCAGGACTACCAACCACAAAATGACGATCGACCCTAAAAATGCAAAGCCATATCGATATCTTTTCCATGTCTCCACTGCTATTGGAACCAATTGAATAAAAATATGGGCTTACTTTGTCCTCATAAATTATGCAAATAACCTCTACATTAACATAATATATGCATAGCGATGCAAACCTTTAAGTAACTTACACATGTTACATGGTATAAAATTCCCATCATTCACCAATAAGAATTTACAGAATTTTCACATTAATCATGCAAATTAGGTCATCATTTGCATAATTGGTATCTGTTGATGTTCCGCCTGCCACAGATTAAATAGATTACATGTATAGCAGTACCATTATATGAAACACTGTAATTATAGAATTTCCTCATTAATTATGCAAATTAAGTCCGCATTTGCATAATTTGCATTTAATCATGTACAACTGTCTCTCAGGTACCTACACACCAAAAAATGATGAAAATACGTTGTTCCAATCTGGACTTATTGGCTTTGAAAGTTTTTACCAGAAACTAACTTGCAGTTCCAGAACAAGCTGCTAGGGGGGCCAAACTTACGCCACTTATTCCTGACAAGATAAGCTAGCTGTCATCAAAAAGTCAAGACCATAGCTTGTTCAGAACAAAAGATACAAAAACCGGAAGTTCTGCTGCAGTACCAAGGTCATCCACCAGGAGGCCCATATTTGACCGTGACCTTTGTCTTCCTAAGACTTATCAGCATACCAAATATCATCACAATCCATAAAGGCGTTATGAAGTTATGCCGCCTACAAAGTTGCGGAAACACAGACAGACACACAGACACACAGACATACAGACATACACGCCAAAAACAATACCTCCATTTTTCATGGAGGTAATAATGAACAGCCCGAATTTTTTTTTTTATTCCTGACATGTAATCACTAGACGTGGTGACGGCACACTCATTTTTCTTCAACTTATATTAATGCCGCCACCAACACAGGGGACAAATACGTGACAGGACAATACTCATTTACACCTGAGCTAAGTGAGGAGAGTCGTTTAAAGTGCCTTTCCCAAGGGCACAAAATCGGTGACATGTCAGGACTCGAACCCGGGACCACATTAGAGGTTACTACTCTTGCTGACCGTCGGATCCACATCTGCACAAAATTCGCCAACTGACTACTTCGATCAAGGACATTATACACATTGTATAATGTCTCTGCTTCGATCGACTTCAGAGACAGGGTCCCCTCATCCAGTGAATACATAGAAGAATTTTACTGCACGACAATGCATATCAGGACGTTTTTATTTTAATTTTATTACCTCCATGAAAAATGGAGGTATTGTTTTCGGCGTGTCTGTCTGTGTGTCTGTCTGTGTGTCTGTCTGTCTGTGTGTGTGTGTTTCCGCAACTTTGTGGTCATCATAACTTCAGAACGCCTTTATGGATTGTGATGATATTTGGTATGCTGATAAGTCTTAGGAAGACAAAGGTCACGGTCAAATATGGGCCTCCTGGTGGATGACCTTGGTACTGCAGCAGAACTTCCGGTTTTTGTATCTTTTGTCCTGAACATGCTATGGTCTTGACTTTTTGGTGATAGATAGCTTTTCCTGTCAGAAATAGGTGGTGTGGGTTTGGTCCCCCTAGCAGCTTGTTCTGGAACTGCAGGGGACTTTCGGGCGAAATCTTTAAAAGCCAATAAGTCCAGATAGGAAAAACATATTTTAATCGTTTTTTGTAATTAGGTAGCTGAGAGAGAGATGTACACGATTAAATACAAATTATGCAAATGAGGACCTAATTTGCATAATTAACGAGGAAATTCTATAATTACATTATAGTACTTTCATACATGTAATATCTGTAATCTATGGCAGATAGAACGTCAAAAGATATCAATTATGCAAATGATGACCTAATTTGCATAATTATTGCAAAAATTATATGATTTCTTAATGGTGAATGATGGCAATTCTGTACCTTGTGACATGTAGGTTACTTAAATGTTAACAACACTATGCATATATTATGTTAATATAGAGGCAATTTTGACACGCAAAATATTGTAAGTTGAGTTTAGAACACCATAAATTAAACTACATTATATCAATTGCCACCTTATTTCCATATCCAATGAAACAAAACATTAACATAAACTCTACATATTTCATGGAGGTATGAAATCTCAGAATTCTTGTTTTAAATGTATTTGTTTAGCACCATACAGTATCTTTTCATATCACGTGTACTTGAAAGTAGCATTCAGGCATGAGATTGTTTGATAATGTTGACTACGATTAATTGATGTATATGAATGCCTTTGTTAAACTGGTAACGCTGTTATGTGTATGTGTAGATGTACATTATACAGCACTGTGTAGTTTTAGCTAATGATGGTAAGATGGTGATTTTTTTTATAATCTTGAGTGATTGCACATCTTTTTACATTGTACCATACCGACTATTGCACTGTGTTGTTACATATATGTTTGTTCACATTATTAAAGTATAAGCAAGGCCTTAAAAATGCCATCATGAAAGTTTATCTGTGTTGGTAGTGACTTGTTTTAGTTAAAAAAACTTTTGTTCCAACACAAAAAGAAGGTCTCTCACCTAGAGCCTTGTTTCCTGATAGACAGTCTAGTCAACAGGGCCGATCGGATAATGTATAGAGTCTTGCCGGCTGGTTACGAGCTTGCAACAGAAAGATATGCTTGGAGCAAGCAAAGAGCAAGTAATGTCCTTTCTTTGAGATTATTAGCTGGCTCCTTTCAACTTTTCTAACTATCCTTGGGCCCCTTTTTCGATCATTTCTGCTGACAACATTCACCAGCTTCTGTATCTGTACAGCCGGTATAACCGCCCTTCGGCGTAACACACCAGCTTCTGTATCTGTATAGCCGGTATCATCGCCCTTCAGCGTAACACACCAGCTTCTGTATCTGTATAGCCGGTATAACCACCCTTCAGCGTAACACACCAGACCAGTACAGCTGCAGTAGCGGATCGTGTGGAGCGGACGAAAGCTAAAAAGACTGAGACTCGGGCTAAGATTATCCCCCTACACCACCCTATCCCCCGACTACAGTCATATGTCAGGAAATGTTCATTACACAAAGGTGAAAGAATGCCCAATACAAGGAGCCTCCACCAGGCCTTCCTAAGGGGGGGGGGGCTGTCGAAACTCAAATTTGGTAATAATGCGGTCAATGGATTTGCCCAAGGAATTGGTGCGCCGTTATGCATGTTTTTTTTTTAAATTTAATTCATCGGTCGCCACAAAACAAGGCTCATGGGAGCCACTTTTTAAAATGTTTTGGGTTACAGAACAGCCAGTGAGGACAGATGTTTGTTGACCTTAGACTTGAAGAGTTTAAGGTTATACTCATAAGGGAAGCAATCACCTGGTAGCTTATTCCAAAGTGATGTTGCTCTTGGAAAGAAGCTTTCAGCATGGAACTTCCTCCTAAAAGGTGGAGAATGGAGGAAGAAAGGGTGATTTGCTTCGGTGGAAGTGGCAACACGTGTCCTTGTTGAGAATTTTCGAAGTGGGGGCACTAGCGAATGAAGTTACACGGAGCATTTGCCTTGGAAGTAGCGATAAAATAACGCAAAGCTTGCAACATTATGCCTATATGTGGTTGTAAGGTTGCGAACAAGTCACTCCCAACAAGATTTTGTAAGCGCTTTTGAACTCGGTTGAGGCAGCTTAGGGAGCTCTGGGCAGCTCCAGCCGGCCAGATGTGACAACACATTGAACAATATTCCCCTTCGAAATGAAAACTCCCCTGGCTATTCATTCTCATTTTGCGATATCTTCGCGATTCTATTCCAAGGTGGGAGGGGAAAGAGGGTTTTCACCATGTTCTTCTATTCGCGGTTGAAACCATTGTGTGTACCAGCAAGGTTGGTGAAAGCTCCTCGGTACAAGTGTAGAAGTTGTGGTTTTGCAAACGCCAAGCGAAGCATGATGTCACCGAGAAAATAAGACACTGTCTCCGAACATTTCAAGACTTACGATGTTCAGTAGACCGGCAAACCGTTGCAACAGACGTCATACGTACCGTGCGTTGATTGAGTTTTGTTTAAACAACAACAACAGTGTTTTGTTATTCACTCTAGCTGAGAGAAGACTTCACATACAATATAAACACACATATAAATTATGAACACATGTACAGACAGAGTGCACACAGACTCAGCGTATACTAGTGTAACAGCCAGTATATAGGTGTCACTAACTACCCGCCCAATGGATTCTGGATCTTTTGGCCGAATTGTTTGTGCGCTGGTTGTGAGCTGGCACGCCGCGCGAGCGGCGCTGGTTCGATTCCCGGGGGTCAGAGGATCGAAATTACTCCTTTCTCTTGTGTTACACTTGTAATAGTATATGTGGCAGTCTGTTTACACAAACATACCTTCACGTACCTGGCACCTGCGATGCATAAAGAGGAAACGCGTCAACATCTCAGTGCCCCTTTGTCCCAGATCTTACCCATGACATTGTTTGCGGCTTACGTAATTACCTTGTGAGCAGGCCGCAGACAGACGGGTGGTTCAGACGACAGACGGCCGACTCTTCGCACACTCCTCCCCCAACGCCGCTGCAGACATCCAGGCTTGTGAGCAGGCCGCAGAC